CGAGCAGCAGCAGTCTGGAGTGCAAGTGGGTGATCTCACAATCTCTCCTTTATCCGGAGAGACTTGGCCGGCCAAAAAACACCACCTAGCTGCCAATCTCACTGTAATGCCGTCTATGCTCCCTCAGAGACATCTAGTTTGCCATGAATCCTCATCCTACCTTTTCTAGTTACTTCAAGTTACTAGAAATGTAACTCTTAAGAACAATTGTGTAGAAACAATGTCTGTTTCAGCAACTGAGGCTGTTTCTTTCCTTTTTACCTAGATTAGTTCTCATATCGAAGGATATCAGATCATTCCAGCAAATAATATCAGGGGTATAATGATGACTAGTTTACCTAAAAGCTAATAATCCAAACCTGTCCATGAGTTAAATACCTACATAGAGAATAACATTGTTTTGCTACTAAATTCCCATGTTGGAGTAATGCCAAGTTAAATTGGCATTTGAAAATTATTATGAACTTATGATGATCATTTTTTGACTTGAGTCAGTATTAACCCTATTATGTCATCTTAGCTAAACCAGCAGAGCAACAAGGTTCTTGGACTGAGGTATCACACTCCTTCCATAGGTAGGATCTTTCTATGAGAAGTGTGTTGCTTTTACTTCCAGTCTAAAGCTACAAAAGTAAAAGAGAGAGAGAGAGAGAGAGAAAAGCTGGCATAAGTAAATAGAGAAGCCAAGATGGCTGCATCTATCTCTTCCTACTCCACTTACATTGTTTCAGCACAGCGTAGGATAATTTTGAAGCTTATCATAATACTATATACTCACAGATGCATCTCAATAATTGCCAGAGAACTGAAAAATGATAGGGTAAACAAGCTGGGGCAGCCTCCCTTTCTAGCTTTTATTGTGTATATTTTGATGATGGGAATTATGATATAATGGGAATTATACTGTAAGGCATTTAGCACAGAAAAGGAGTAGTTTGCAGAAACAGCCCAGCTGCTGAATCAGTATGAAGGTAAGTACTTGTTGATCTGGAATGTTGACATGGATTTGCCGCAGGATTCTAGGTGCAAATATGCAACCATCAAGAATAAGGGGTTCCATTTTCTGAAACTTGTAAAAACTAGACACATGGACACAGGAAAGGGTTTACAATGACTCATTAAACAGTTTTTTTAAAAAAAATATTATTTATTTTGACTCATTAAATGGAGTTGAGTTCGCCTGCGGCTTAGTGGTGCCTGAACCTGGAATGGCCACCATTTTTGTTCTGAGGAAACCAGAATTTGAAACGTTCTCACTGTGATCTAGTTCATATATTATCTCACACAAGTTTGCTTAACTGTAGGTTGTTGAATAAGCCACTCTAGGCTGAAGTCCCACAAATTGCTAAGCCATAAATCACATTAACAAGCAATGATGATTGAGTTCATACAATATGCTAAGTCAAAAACAAATGAGATACTAGCTTACTTAGGCATCCAGTACAAGTCATACCATTATGTGATTATATTTGTGTTACATGTGCAATGATGTCACGAGTACATAATGTCACTTGTTTCCTCCTCCTCTCATAGAGGACCATGATCTGCACATAGTTCACTGTTAGGGAAGTTATTGGCTGTTCAATCCCTAGAGCAGGTTAGGATTTATTTAAACAAGTAATATACCTTTTCATTAAAATACTAAAAACCTTTTATTGCTCACCTCACTTTTAAAATGTTAAATAAAACATAATTTATCAGCTCCAAATCCCAAATCATTTTCCCCAGGACTTTCAGAGTCATGCTTAATATTGGAATTTTATATAACAATGATAACTTCCATTACTATTAAATGAAGTATGTGGTCTCATGTTTAAAGAGATGGAGCTTTTGTAGTGCCCAGTAATGTTTAAGGTGTTAGGCAAAGACTGGGAGGACCCAGATTCAAGTCACTGAATGACTGGGCTAGTCATACTTTCTCAGCCCAACCTACCTCACAGGGCTACTGTTGTAGGGATAAAATGAATAGAAATCCCTATCTAAGCCATTCTGAACTCCTGGAGAAAAGGTGGGATTCAAATCTAACAAATACAAATATATAAACAAGCAGATGTACACCATTGTACTCAATTAATGGTATTAATTATTTTAAGTGATGAGATGTACCCCTTTTACCAAAAAAAAAAAAAAAAGACTTTAAATGAATATTTTAAACCAGGCTGATTTTGTGACCAATCCTTTTGCAAAATATATTAAGTACTATTTATCCTCCTACTTAAAAAGAGAATGTTCAAGGAATAGGAGAAGAGAAAGGCTGGGAGTGAAAAATTGTTTCCATCCTTTTCAAACTTCTAAAGTAAGTTTTAAATATGTATATGAGACAGTAGATATGCGTTCTTATTGTCAGCAAGGAAGGTTACCGCCCTAACCAACAGCCAATCCAGAGCTATCTCAAACTATATCCATTGAACATTGTTTCAACTCTTAATAATGTAAGTGTTCTCAGTTGAGAAGCATTAAAGTGATATTTCAAATTTGGTATTGCTATATCTCCACCATGCTTTGGTTTATTCTATATAATTTGTCTAATCTTATTTTTTAAATATTTTAGGTATAAATGAATTTAAAATATATTTGCTATATACGCAGCCAAATAATAGAAAATTGAATTTGGAATGTTTGAATCAAAAACAAGATTTTAGAAAGTACAGTTATTTAAACTGTAGCTATTCTACTAATCAGTGATGATGAAAAATATTGCTGTGACTTAAGTTCTGTATTATATCAGCAATAAGAGAGTTATTTTAATTTTTGCCAATCCATTGCAGCAATTACTCCTAAATTTAATTCAAACTCCAACTGAGATATATCACCATCTGGATTTTTAAGAAAAGTGAAAATACCATTTGCAAACAGATTAATTACATGATCTTCAATTTTTTCTATTTTAGTCTTGAGTATTCTTATTCTGCCTAATATTAGGAATAACATTTCTAAAATAAGATCAAACAAAATAGGTGAGAGTGGATATCCTTGTTTGGTGGTCTTATGTATATAAAAGCATCTGTGTCTAATCCATAGATGCAAATTAGTGTTTTTGCCCATGAATATAACTGTTTAATTATACAAATGATTTGATGTCTAAATCCAATTTCTATTAATACTTTTTTTTAAAAAAAGAATTCAACTTATAGTTTATCATATGTTTTAAAAAATTCAAAAGTCTGCAGAGCTAGTGCAGTTCTGATATATTTGCCATATTAATAAATCCAGACTGATCCGGTGATATGTCTTTACATAGAAATGTGGTTAGGTTTAGGCTAATAGTGCACTAAATATTTATCTTGATTAGCAGTGCAATATAATGACTTCTGTATTGACTATTATTATTTGGTTTGAGAATAATCAGGAGTTAAGTTTGACTTGACATTTAAGACGATATCTACACTTATTGGTGACTGGAAACCCCTTATGGACTTTTTGTGTAAAGAAGAAAAAAATGAATTTGTGATTTATGGTTTTGATGATTAGACAGGACAGATTATAGAAAGAAGAGAGTCATGATGTAACTTTAGAGGGAGAGGTTAAAATATAATTGTACTTATCACTGGTGTTAAGATTAGAAGCCACTTCTTTGTATCTTTTTTTCCCTATTTTTCTTCTTTTTGCACTTTTAGCTTTTTCTCTTATATCTCCCTTTCTCTTTCTTCTTTTTTGTTCTACTTTAGTTTGTATTAGTTCTTACTATTGTTAAATATATATATACACATACACACATAGAGGTATAAGTTTGACCCAAGAGGCAGGGAGTTTACAGCTGTAAATATATAGTGTCAGATACCTTTTTTTTTTTAAAATCTCTATTATTCAGGTCCCAAACCATGTGGAATGTTAACATTTTTTAATTGCACCACTTGCCCTGTAGGTCTTGGCAGTCACCCAGGGGTTCTTTCAGAAAAGCCTTTTTATAATTCCAGTCTGAAGAATCAAGGTACTCCTACCTTCCCCAAAATAAAAGTGAAGTATTGTTGGGATTGCTCTTGAATCCTGATGACTTCATGCACAGTTTATTTAGCAATAAAAGAGGAAGTGGTTTTCCACTGCCTCTTCTGGGATGATTTTTGTTTTCCTAATCCAGCCTACAGCTCTGGTGTATTTGGCAGTTTCCCATCCAGGTACTGATTAGGCCCAAACCTGCTCAGCTTCTGAGCCTAGACAGGATCAGCCAGAATGAAAAAAACAAAAACAAAAACAAAACCTCTTACTAAAGCAAACAAGAACTCTTCATACCTGCTCTGACTCTTTGAGTTAAGCCTAAGGCAGGCTTCTGCTAGTGAAAGAAACCCAGGAAGGCAGTGCCAATCTTTCATTTTATTCTGCTTTGCAGGGATCGAACATACTCTGAGTACAGGAGGCTATCCCAATTTCCCAGTAAAAGCTCTCAGATATCAGGCCTACAACTGACAGCCCTTGCAGAGCTGCAGCTAGTCAGAGTAGACTTAGTAGGTGGGCAGTTTTTAAAAATGCTCCTATTATGCCAAATAAGAGGGCAGGGGTTAGCTTTTGCAAGCGAGGGAATTTTGAAGGAGGATGGAATCACAGTTCAGATTCATGGATTTCATTAAAGCCCCCAGTTTAAATAATTTGAGCAGTAATTCAGCCAAGGTGGATTGGGTTGTTCTTCCTAGGCATGGCATGATCTTTGGATCCCACCGCTTTCGTCTCCCGCCATTGCAAGTAGGGGTCGACCCCGCCCCTGCCAACTGAGGGCATCCTTGGTTCTGTCTTTTTGGCCCCCCTTAAGCTTGCGCCTGATATGATCGCTCTGGCAGTCTTCGGGAGTCCGCTGAGCCCTGGCGTTAATTGCCCCAACAGCAAGAAGTGGGACGAGGGAAAGACTTCCCTCTATCCCTGAAGGAAAGAGGGTGACGCCAACCCCCGCCCCGTCTGGGGCAGGAGCAGCCAGGGCGCGAGGTGCTCGGGCGGGATGGTTGAGGCTTTTTCCCGCGCGGCGCGTCAAGGCGGACGGGCGGCGAGCGCTGCGCCCTGCGCTCTCCAGCAGCGAGGTAGCAGCAGTGGGGGAAGCCCCGTCTCAGGTTGCCAGAGAGCTACGCCTTTCCGTCTCAGCGGCGCCTCCCGACTTTTCCAGGCGGCGGCGGGAGGCTGCTTCGCGTAGGTTGGTGCAGTCCGCTTGTTGGCTGAGGTGAAGGCCGGTTTGGATGGCCCCAGACGCGCTCCTGCGTGGTGGCCCGCTGCTGCTCCTGGGTGAGGATTGACGATTCCCTTGCACCTACCGCGGTTGTCGGGTGGGCTCCAGGTTACCTGCTGCTATTCCTGCACAGAGCACCTTTCGGTAGTTTCACGACAGGCAAACGTTCAACAGGTGCGCCCTTTCCTAACGTAGGGTCATGCAGTTATTGTGCACAGGATTCTTTGCCGGAAAAGAGAATGGCATTTGTAACTCAATCCCGCTGCTAGCTTTCCTCTCTTCTGGCAGGAATTTCCATGCAATTTATAAGTTAATAAGCAAAGCCCCCGGAGGTCCAGCTTCGGTTGCAGTGTTCCTGCTTGTTCCGGATAAGAACCCCACTAGAAAAAAATAGTCGGTAACTTACCCGCGTCTTCTGTCTACTCGAACAGCAAAGCGCTTGCGACTGTGACTTTCATACAATTAGCAAGGAAACAGCAACTGTTGCCTGGGAAGAGAGGCCAGTTTTTTTAGCTGTGAAGCCCAGTGGAACGATAGTTTAGGCTACTGTTGGCCAGAATTCATCCCTTCCCCCTTGGAATGCAGTCAAATCCATTCCATCATCCGAAAAGCCTTGGTCTTTAATGATAAAGGCAGGCTCTGTTTATTTAATATTTAGTTTCCCTTAATAGAAAGGCACCTTGGGCATGGAAAAAAAGATGAGAAAAAACCTCTGATTACATCATACTGGACCTCAGTTGTAGTGCTAAAGTCAGGTCTTGCTTCTGCCACTTAAGTACCCACATTTGTTTCACGGGTGGGGAAATAAAAGCAGGAGGATTTTTCGCTGTGCCAAGTATATCATCAATTAGATTAGGCTGCCTTTGCTACAGCATTGCCTGGCAGGATACCCATTAAATAGAGTACCTAAGTGTCTATTTTTAGCCTGTGTGTTTATTTTAAGGGGCCTTGGAACCCAGGACGGTAGGTTAAAGAAAGACTTAGTCCTGGTGTAATCACATGTACCTGAAATAGTTTGTAACATTTCTTGCTTGAGTTTTTGCTATAATGTGAGGCTATATGTTTATTTAACTACTGTATACTGTTTGTTAACTAAGTTTTGCAATCATATCACTACATATCACTAACATCTATTACATTACAGAGAATTAAAAATCATTACTTGGTTAATACTTTCCATTATAAACCCATGACATTGTATCTGTTTGTCAGTGAAAAAGAATCAGTGTAATTTATGATCTACAATGTATTAATTAGGGTTATTTGAACATACTGACATTACAGAACATTTGTCTGGATTTGTTTATCTGATAGTAATAATCTTTGGAAGATACTTTCTGCCAGTTAATTTAACTAAACATCACATATTGGTAGCAGATTAAAATATTGGAATCTTTTCCAGTTCCCTGGCATTTGCCTTGAGATATTGCAAGTGGTTTAACTGGATTACATGTTTTTCTGGAACTCCTGGAATGTTTTAATACTAGTAGTCAAAGCTTAATGATGAAACACCCTGTGAAAAAACATCCATGCCTTTCGGTTCCTACTTACTTCCTTTGTTGGGACACAGTTGTCTGCCTGCTTTGCTAGAAATAATGTGTACTTCCGGGCAAAGGTCTTTTCTTACATCTGGTGAATAATGCCCATTTTATAACTGTTCCAAAATATATAAAGTGCCCCTCAAGTTAAGTTCAACTCCCAGAGACAACATGGACACATTCCTTGTTGCTTCTTTGTCAACAGCAAGGAAGTAGTTTGCTGCATTTTAGAATGGTTTTTTCATCTTTTTTGTCTAGTCTTTCTTGTCTAGTCTACCAACCCACAGATTTCTTGAATCTCACATTCAGGTACTGTGATGGAGTGCCTAACAGACCTTGGGAACACAAAGGAGACAACAGAACAATTAATGGAGGAAACGGGGCTGTGACTTGACTCCAGGGAAGGAGGGAAGTGTGAGAAAGAGATTCAGAGTAACTCCACCTTTATACCTTAATTACACTTGAGAAAAACCTATCGCACATAGAAATTTTAAACATATTACAAACTAATAACATTTAACTCACAGAGAAGTAGGTGAATGCTACGTGCAGCCAGAACTTAACAGCCAAGTTCCAGACCTTAATCTTCCTAGACTCCAGATTTCTCTTTAATGTCAAAACAGCAATTGATGCATAATTGCAAAATATATTGAAGATTCAGATTTTTTTTTTTTAAGGATTTCCTGCTTGTCTCTATTCAAATACTGACATGATCTGATCCCAATTAGCACTTTTTGAGTCAGCGGAGATGGATAGCTGCTGCATCATACAAAAAACAAAAAACTAGTTGTACAGCTGTGGGTGTTTAATTGGTAGCCTATCTACCAAAGCTTCAGGCATGGTATGGGCCCAGTGCATTCTTTTTTTTTTTTTTGAGGTTGTGTTGGTAGTTTTGAGATATTGGTATGGAGATGTTAGCAGTATTTGGGTTTGTTTTGAACCTTACATGTGGTAGCGTCTTTATTCATTACATTGTTAGTTGTTTCATGTACCCTTCAAAATTTCAGAAAGATACCTGTTTTGAAAATTTAATCTGGATAATTTTATTTAAACTGTAGATCATATTTCTGGCTTTGTGTTTCAAGCATATCTAGTTCAATATTTTTCCCTCACTATCTTACTTTCAACGCTGACTGCTTATTTATATGTTTTCTAATTATTGTTTTGAATCCTATATCTGCTATATATTTTTAATATCGCACATAGAAATTTTAAACATATTACAAACTAATAACATTTAAAAAACAAACCTTTCATATTTAATATGTCAGGTGTCTGAGCAAAAGAATGAAAACTGGCTAGAATTATGCTCCTTTCTGAAAGCCCCAGTCCTTGCTTAGTTAAATACCTGTTGAACTCATTGGGTTTTACCAGTAAATAAGAGTTTTATTAGACTGTTTCATTTATGAAGTGAGATTTAAGCAGTTTAATGATACACAGCATTTTAGTCAAACCTTCAGAAACTTACCAGGTTACTTGTACCTTTTTTCTGCTCATCTATCGTAACTGGGACAAATTTTATATTTCTGTTATAGCACTTTGTAAACATGCTCTTAAGAGTATTCTCATTTTAAGTTACCAAACTTAGGGTTAGGTATAATACCTCCCATAATCTAACATAGTTTTCCTTAAATACACTGGCTAAGAATTCTGGAAGCTATGGTCCCAGTGTATCTGAAGCAACAAGATGGAGAAGGTTGATGTACTCTTGCAAACATTAACTGTCATTTGGTGCCATGGACTCTTTTTATTACAGTACTCTTTTATTAGGCAGAATTCAAGCCTTAAATATTTTTGCTGACATTTAATATTTATATTATATTAAATATATTGAATATTTTTTGCTGACATTTGGCAGCTTTTTATTTATTTACTGGAGTTTATATCCTGTTCCAATCTAGGAGGACTCTGAGCAGATATAAGAGGCAGAGGAGTACTCCTGAAATTGCCACCAATTATCATTTTGCTCATTGCTTAGTGGGAATCGGAACAACACTACTGCCAGGGATCTTTTTTTATTATTATTTTTAGTGACTTCTTCACCCATGTAAATCAGTGGGAGAGTGTGCAAGAGAACAAAACTGGAAGTATGTGGATGAGAAGGATATCAATTGTGCCCTGTAAGTGAGGAAGGTGAGGAAAAAAATAATTTACAGGCATAATTATCCAATCCAAGGAAGTTTTTAGTAAGAGGGACCTGGTTTGTACAGTTGATATACTGTATGTCTGAGCCTAGCAGTGATTTTTTTAAAAATGAACTGCTTTGGAAAGAGCTAATAAAGGGAAGTGAGGATTAATTCCAGGCCACCAGCTGAAGAAACTTTTCTAAATGTTTATTTGAGGCCTCCTGTGATGAAAATACTGTTTAGTAATAGTGATTGTAGGCTGACTTGCAAGGCTATATTGGTATTAGTGAAAAAAAGGTGTCTTTGAGATTAGTCTTAGACATACTCGTTTAGAAATTAAATTAACTGATCCAATGTGGTTTGCTCTCCTGTGTTGGAACTTTCCTTTCAGCAGTGAAATTAGCTAAAGTTAGGTAATTTATATATAGTAGTGTATTCTATTTTTCTGTGTGAAAAGATCAATTTGGTAAATAGCAATGAAACCAATTGTAAACATAATTCTAGTGTATCTGACAGTTTCATAGCTTCTGGAAAATCAGTCTCAAGCATAAGCAGCTACTTTTAGAGAAAGAGAAGATAGCTCTAGTAGTTTTAAATCAGACTTATCTCAGTGAAAAATGGAATTAATAAGTAACAACAATCAAAATGGGAAGTGTTGCAACAGAACCTCTGATGTACTAGAATTTGGTCAAGTAGAATGCAAGTTAAAATCAAGAGAAGAGTTGGTGGCAGAAGGATATACTTGTCAATGGTTTTCTTATGTACAGTTATTAGAAAGATTTAAAGTAGATAAAATAACTTTTGGTTTTGAACACTGTAAGACTGAGGTTGAAATAGTATTGTGTACAAATGATGAACATGTTATTGCTAAAATGTATAAACCTTTACTGAAATTTGAAATAAGAACAAGTGAAAGAATGAATGATAAAATGGGCTGAAAACTTTGGTTACAATATACAATGGAACAGTGGGAGAATATGTAGTTTACATTATGTTATAATCTTAAAGAGAATTTTTATAAAATGATGTAACTTTGGTATATGTCACCATAAAAATTGTCTAGAATGTATAAAGGTACATCAAACTTACGTTGGAAATCTAAACAACAAGAGGGGACATTTTATTATGCTTGGTGGACATGCAAAAAAGCTAGGAAATCTTGGAGTCAATTACATACACTAATATAGAAGTTTTTAAAGACTAATATGCAACTGAAGCCAGAGATTTTCCTTTTGGGACTGATGGACAAACAGTTGGGAAAAAAACATGGAACCTTGTTTTTATATATGATGACTGCAGTGAGATTATTATATGCACAAAGGTGGAAAGATTTGACATTATCCACAATGGAGGAATGGATGGTGAAGATGATGGAACTTACTGAGATGGCCAAATTGACAGCTTTATTAGAGAAAAGACATTGTCTAAGTTTAATGCTGATTGGAAATTCCTAATTGACTTTTTGCATCAAACAGAAATGGTTTTGATGATTAGAAAAAAAATAGATTATAGAAAAAATGTAAGTCATGATGTAACCATAGAGTAAGAGATTAATTTGCATTTATACTTATAACTGCTGTAAAAGAAAATCAGAAGTAATTTCTTTATATTTTCTTCTTTTTCTTCTTTTTACTGCACCTTTGACTCTGTTTTTTCTTATCTTTGTCTTTTTCTTATCTTTCCTTTTCTTTTTTCTTATCTTTACTCTAAATATTAGTTCTTGTTAGTTTTTATCTTCTTCACAATTTTAATGAGTGTGTGTGTGTGTGTTCTAACAGAACCTCAGTGAAATAAGTTATCAATATATCATATTCTTTGTATTCCTAAAACGTATTAGAATATGAACAACTTTCAGTACCTTTTATCAATTTAAGTAAAGAAGAAAAATTGTTATTGTCTTCAAATGTTTACATAAAATTTTCTACAGTATGTAACATCATTTCAATTACATTGCCAGTGTTATTGTTGTTTGTTTTAAATATATATTTATTAAGGCTTTGAGTGTGCTGTTTTCTTCCCCAGCTCCTGGCGCTCTATTTGAGCGCAGCTGACAAAATCCCTTTGGATCTTGCCAGGCATCTTTCAAGGAGCAGCCCCATGGAGCACAAATGGGTGATCTCTCAGTTTCTCCTTGTCCAGGGAAGCTCCATTGGCTCGGGTGCAGTGCCTGGCTGCCAATAATTGCCTCAGCATCGTCTCTGCCGTTTAGCAAGGCATGTTAGTCCACCGTTGTTCTACCTGGAAGTTTTCCTTCATACGCTTGAGGGCAAACAATATGGGGTACTTTTTAAAGCTTTATTGAATACAGGTAAAATAAGAACTATAGAGTATTACAGTACACCATTCAGAAATTTTTCAAACTGAAAATTTTCCTAAGGCATAGGAAAACCCACATTACTTGTTAGGGTTAAAGTAATGAAACAGGAAATGTACCATTAGGAAGGAGAAGCAAGTGCATACTTAGTAGTGGAAGCATTATTGTAATTTGAGTCAACTTGAAATATACTTCTGAAATGATTTGTCTTTTTCTTCTTCTCCCCAACTTAAGGCGTAGCCATTTTCAACTCTGTGACTAGCAATGAAAATGCAACAGCTCGCCCTGAAACCAAGAAGATCTCCTGCAGTTACATGAATGGAACTTGTACAGGTAACAGATGAATTATAATTCCTCACAATGGTATTATTTCTCAATAATAGTGAGGGGAACTGTTCAAGACAGTGAATTAATTAACTGATTAATTGATGTGATTAAGGTACTGGGCTAGAAACCAGGAGCCTGTGATTTCCAGTTGTCCCTTAAGCGTGGAAACTGGTTGGGTGACTCTTAGTCACTCTCAGCCCATCCCACCTCACAAATTTGTTGAGGGGAAAATAGGCAGAGATAGCATTATGTATGCCATCTTGAGTTGTATACAGAATAAAGGTGGGACTGAAATCTAATGAATAAATAATTTCCGTTCTAATTACATGTAACAATGCACAACATTTTAGGAAACTGGCAAGTACCAATCACAATTAGTAAGCTTTTATTTTATGATATGTTAATTATAAATATATCCTGTTTTAATGATTCCTTAAAGAAAAATAGATGCATACGTTCTGTTACTGACCATCAATAGCTTTTTGAATTAATAATCCCTTAATAAACAGAGCATCTGCATTAAGATTACATGACAAAAAGCAACTTTTAAACTAAACCTTGGGGAGAGTTGACAAGATTTGGAAAACAGTTGAGTTTAGAAAGAACCATCCTTGGGAATGAGGATGCAAATGTTTTTGAATTTTCAAATGTGTCAGGATGGAAATAAACCATGAAAAAACAGAACAGAGAGTCAAAATGATCGAAGATATATAATCATTGCCATGCAGAGAATGGCAGAGAAAAAATAGGTTTGTGTTCTTTGTTGATGAGACCTCTGAGAACCAATTCAGACTCTCTGCAGACTGTAAGATCTAAACCTCTTTCAGCTTTTGCCTTACCTAATTCTTCCCCAAATTCAGAGTTTCATTAGGCTTATTTCCCAGCTTGATTAATCTCTTTTATTTTACATCTGCCAGTAATTTTAGGAAAATACTCTTGCTGTAGTTCTTTTTTTATATATATATAAATTTTATTGTGTTTTCCAAAAAAGTTAAAATACAGAAAAATAAAGAAAAAAGGAAGGGAAGAAAAGGGGGAAAAGAAAAAAAGGAGGGGGAGGGAAGAAAAGGGAACATAAGAAAAAAAGAATAGCTTCCTACTTTCTTGGTATGGATATAGATAGAGAATATATTCACCCCTTACTCTAATATCTAAAAATTTACATAGTGAAAAATAGTTTTTAATCTAATATTCAGAAAGATTCCTAAAAATTAATCTGTTTGGTTAATGCATA